TGTGTGAATATGATCATGTCTGAGTACGATCACATCCTAGTGTGTGTGATGGTATTCAAGTGTGTGCGGGTGAAAATGCCCTAATATTTGAGTGTGAACGCTGTGGGTGTGATGTTGTGCGTGAGTGTGAATGTGCAAATGTAGAAAGGTCCGAATGTGAGTGTATAACAGTGAGTGAATGTGAAAATGTTCACGTGCCTGGTTGTGAGTGTGGAAACACCTGAGTGTTTGTGTGCAAACGTGATTGTGTGCATGTGTGAACGTGGTTCTGTTGAGTGTGAGGCTGAGTGTGTGAATGTGATAGTACCCGAGTGTGTGTGTGCACACCTGCCCCCCCCCCCCCCCCCCCCCCGCCCTCCACCACACCTGCATCACGCCCCGCCCTCCTGGTCAGTCCGTGCCAGAGAGAAACTGGTCAGGTGATTCCTGCACAAAAAGGCCCCATTGTTGGCAGATACCAGCCGCTGGTGCTGGGCCCCTCCACTGATGCCCCCCTACCTTCCTGCCTTCCATCAGCGCTCTGGGGGGGGGGGGTGTCTGTGCCTCCAAGGCCACCAGGGCCTCCTCTGGCCGAGCCATCCCAGGGTGAGAACATCTTCTCTACCCTCCCTGTCCTGTTAAGCCTTTGTAAAAACAGAGTACCAGAGCTCCAGGCTGTGCGGGGTCTCATTCCAACCTAGTGGGGAAACTGAGGCATGTTCCTCCAAGACTTCATTTGAGGGCAGGTGCGGTGCCAGGGGCCCAGGGAGAGCCTGTGTCAGTGTCCCCGCCCTGTCTCCTTTCCCTGGGATGTGGGCAGGCTACCCAGATTGAAATTCCAGCTCTGTGACCTTGGGCAAATCACTTCACCTCTCTGGGCCTCCGTTTTCCCATCTGTGTGTATCATGAGGTAAGGATAGACCGGCTTCTTAGGATTTTTGTGAGGTTGAAATAACGCAATACGGAGTTAACTAGGTAGAAGCAGGCCTGGCACAGAATTTAAGTGCTCAGTACTGGCAAAGGAGGTATGTTTAGGCTCCTGGCTAACCCATGGGGGCCCAGCACACCCTGCCCCATCTCCTTCCTGTCCCTCCCTCTTCCTCTCTCCCCCTCACTCATTCTCTTCCAGCCGTGTGGGCCTCCTCATTGTTCTTCCATCCTGCCCCAGGGCCTTTGCACAAGCTGTTCTCCCTCTGCCGGAGAAGCCCTCCTGTTTCATTCTATCACCATTGGTCTCCATGACACTTACCCTGAGTTCATTTTTTTTTTTTTTTTTCCAATTCCTTTGCATACTGCCTGTCTTCCCCACCAGATGGACGTAGTCTTTCATGGTTTCCACGCTTTCCTCAGGGCCCGGCATACAGTCCACTGCCATGGAAGAGATTCTGACTCATAACCAAAACCAAACTCACTGCCACTGTGTTGATTTCGACTCACAGCAAGCCTGCCTAGTTTCTGAGACTGTAAATCTTTATGGGAGCAGTAAGCTTCATCTTTGTCCCAAGGAGCAGCTGGTGGGTTTGAAGTCCCAACCTTGTACTCACCAATCCAGTGCTTATCCTACAGTGCCACCAGGATAGCGACCTGGTTCTGACTGATAGTGACCCTGTGTAGAGTTTCCAAGTCTGTGAATTTTGACTGGAACAGACAACCTCAGTGCTCTCCCTCAGTGTATTTGAACCACCAACTTAGTGATTAGTAGCCCAACACTTAATTCACAATACCACAAGGGCTCCTTCATACCATGTGGTGGAGGTGGTGGTTTGCTGTTGAGTCGGTTCCCATGCACATCGACGCTGTATAGGCTGTAAATCTTTACGGGAGCAGAAAATTTCATCTTTCTCCCATGGAGTCACTGATATATTCGAACTGCTGACATTGTGGTTAATGTTTTATTGTGAATTATGTGATAGTTTACATGGGAGAACATTAGTTTTACATTCATCCTATTGTATATCATTTCATTGCTATGGTTATAATCCCCTCCATGCATCATCAACCAACCAAAGAGTATACACTACAAGCCTGCCCCCTGGTCGTCAGCACACGGCCCCTCTCCCTCTCTGGGTCTAAAGTCCCCAGCCTCGCCATCTCTCCATGTCATCGTCTCTGCCTCCATCTCAGGCATCACTGCTTCTCTGGGTAGGGTCCTGCTCTCCGCTCTTCTCCCTTGATGGTCCTAGGGTCCTCCCCTCCTAGACTGCAAAGTCAACCACTGCCCTCCTTGCTACAAAACATCTACCTTTACATTTCCAACCCTCACGATCAGTCCTGAAAATAATTATTCACTATTGCATCGCAAGAGACCCATCCGCATTTCATTTCATCGCCAGGGGTGGGTTTCTTGAAGGGGATGGTGCCATATTAGAGCCACAGAGGTGAAACCTTGAACCTTCCACTTTGACGCCTGAGTCCCTTCTTTGTATCTGTCCATTCATCCATAAGGAGCCCTAATGGCACCGTGGTTAAACTGTAACCTTTATAGACGAACCCTGGTGGCACACTGCTTAAGCAGTCAGCTGCTGACCGAAAGGTTGGTGGTTCAAACCTACCAGCCACCCTGTGGGAGAAAGATGTGCATCCCTAAAGATTACCAATCAAAGCCGAATCCATTCCTGTGTAGGTGGATACTGACGCAGCTAGCTTATACAACAGTAGAACTGCCACATGGGATTTCCAAGGTTGTAAATCTTTACAGACCTATACTGACACATCTTTCCTTCCATGGAGGGGCTGGTGGGTTCAAGTCACTTATTTTTCAGTTGGCAGCCAAGTGCTTAACCACTGTGCCACCAGGGCTCTTCTGTAAAAGATTACAGCTTAGGAAACCCTATGAGACAGTTCTACTCTGAGGAGTCTGGACAGGAATGGGTTTTCATCCGTCTGTTCTTTCCATCCAACAAATATCTCCTGAGCACCTTCTGAGGGGGTAGTGGACCAGCTGAACTGGACCTGGGACCCTTGAATCAACCTCACTGCAGGTTGACCCTTATTCGAGCCTCCCCCCAGGCTGGCCCAGCGTGTGTTTGCTCACTTCCTACTGACACCACCAACAGCAATACTAAGTTGGTATCAAGAGTCCAATAAGTACCGCAGTGATTCCTGTCACAGCATTTACTCCCAAGCACACAGCAGAGGCCTTTAGTGAATGTCAGGACAAAGGAGCTGGGTTCAAATCTAAGATCCTCTTCTAGCTGGATGCCCTTGAACAAGGCCTTCCCACTTTGTGCCTCAATGTCCTCATCTGTAAAATAAGGCACTAGTGTGCCTCCCTCTTTCTGCTCCCGTAAAGATTTACAGGGTCATTATGAGTCACAACCAACTCGACAGCACACCACCATTACCTGCCACCCTAGGAGTTCCTTGTTGTTGTTGTTATGTGCAGTGGAGTCGGTCCAACTCATAGCGACCCTGTACAGGGTTTCCAAGGCTGTAAATCTTTACTACGGGAGCAGAACGCCTCATCTTTCTCCCGCGGAGCAGCTGGTAGTTTCGAACTGCTGACCTTAAGGTTCACAGCCCGATTCGTAACCACTACGCTACCAGAGCTCTATGGAGCAAATGGTCAATTGCTTGGCTAGTAGCCAAAAAGGTTGGCAGTTTGAACACACCCAGAGAAAAAAAGGGCTGGCGATCTGTTGAAAGAGCACAGTCTTTTCTTTTTTTTTTAGCGAGAGAGATGTTTTCTTGATTTGATTTGGCAAAATCGGGTACCCAATCCTGAAAGGGCACAACCTTGAAAACCCTTTGGAGCAGTTCTGCTCTCTACAAATGGAATCCACGCAATAATAACTAACAGCAATAAAAAACTGCTTCCGTGAGTTTGGTTTCAGTTCTGGTACACAGCAGGTGCTTAATAAATGTCACTAGGTCTGTTTGGTGGGCATGGCTGCAGTGCGGGAGTATCCATGGAGTCGGGAGAGGGAGAGGCAGCAGCTGCCAGAGGCTTCCAGCTCAGTCCATGCAAATCGCATGCAAATGAGGTGCAAATCACACGCAAGCATTGTTCCCTCAATCCTTCGAGGGCTCCAAACTCAAGGGGGCCTCTGGTGACCCCGCGGGAGGTGCCCTGGCTCTGAGGCTGGCCTGGGTGCTGACCGGTGGGAGCCGGTGTCCAACCTGGCTTTCAACGAGCCAAGCAAATGTTTACACTGGGCCTGTTGCCAGGTACCCCGCGGTCTCTGGGTGGGGGGGAATGTAAACGCAGCTCTGATGGGACAGGGTGGGGTGGGGGTGTGTGGGTTATTAGACACCTACTGTGTGCAGTGTACACAACTCAACCCGGTTGACAAAGTTGGGGCACTGATGGGGGAACCTCGGGGTGTTTGTCCTCTAGCCCTCCACCCCCATCCCCATCTGTACCTGAGGAATCTGGGAAGGCTTGCAGGAAGATGTGCTGAGCCTGGGAGTGGGGAGGGGAGGGGTGAGGAGAGTCTTGCAGGTGGAAAGGCCTAGAGGTGGAACGTGATGTCCGGGGCAGCTTTAGTGGATTGCTGTCCACTTCTGGGCATCAGTTTACCCACCTAGAGGGAAAACTGAGGTTCAGATGGGGGCAGGAAGTCACTCTAGGAGATCAATAAATTCCTGCCTCCCAGGCAAGTCTCCTGCTCTGTCCTTCCTCTGCACCCTTGTCCAATAGCGCCCCCTGCCAGTAATGGTCTCACCTCCCTTCACAGGAGACTGCTCGCTGTTCCTGGGATATCCCAGGCTACTTGCAGCCTCAGGGCCTTTGCACTGACCGTTGCCCCTGCAGAGATGCCATTCTCCTTAGTCTGACCAACTCCTACCCTTGCTTCAAGTCTTAGCATCCTTAGGGATGCACTCGGGGATCCCAGATGAGGGCCTCTGCGGGGTCTCTACAACCGTTTTCCATGATTTTCTGCTGAATCATTTCCACATTGCTATTGATCACTAGGTACTTGTTCAGGGTCAGCCTCCTTGTCCCCAGCCCTGTGTCCCTGTGCCCAGAGCCCATTTGTGGGTAGACTGACTGTCCCCTCCCCACCCCTGTACTGGCAGGCCGAGGATGCAGCGCTGGAAGGCAGCGGCCTTGGCCTCGGTGCTCTGCAGCTCCGTGCTCTCTGTGTGGATGTGTCGGGATGGCCTATTCCTCAGTCACCGCCTGGGACCCGCTCTGACCCCTCTGCGCCGACCGCCTCGCACCCTGGACGCCCGGATCGCCCGCCTGGCACAGTGTAAGCTCCTCCCTCTCCCAATAGGGCAGCCTGGTGTGCTGATTGTGGGATAATGCACTAGACCACAAAGTCGGTATGAACTGCAAGGTTGGTAGTTCAAATTCACCAGCTGCTCCTTGGAAGCCCTATACAGGGTCGCTATGAGTCAGAAGCAACTCGAAGGCAGCCCTGGTGGCACAACAGTTAAGCATCACCTGCTAACCAAAGGGTTGATAGTTCCAACCCATCCTGAGGCTCTGCGAGAGAAAGACCTGACGATATGCCTCCTAAAGCCTAGAAAATCCGCCAGGGTAGGTCTACTGTGACCTGGAGTTGCTGGGAGTCGGTATTGCTGGGAGAGTACTAACAACAGCGTTGTTGATGGCACTTCAGGTAGTGGATTGGGGTCAGCAGGCTTTTTCTTAGATGAATGCAAGAAGGATACAAATCCCCCCAACTCAGGTCTGCCTGGCTTCTGGGAACTCAGGTCTCTAGGATCAGTGGTCACAAGGAATTAGGCTCCGAATTTGAGGAGCAGTGGGCCAGATGGAGATTAGCTCTGGGCAGTACAGGAGGCGATGGCTGGATCTAGTGACCCACCAGGTGGACAGGGACCAAGAGGGGTGGAGACTAGACTAGAGGTCCAGAGACTAAGAAAAAGTCACACAGAGACTGAGGGAAGCAGGGAGCGACGCTAATGGGAACGGCCACTCCGAGGGGCGTGGCCCAGGTGGGGGCCTGCCCACCACCTCGCTTGCGGGGCCGTGGGTCGACTCGGTGTGTGGGCCTGGGCCACGTGTGCCCCCGCAGTCGGCTGTGGTGTAGACGCAGGCGGGCCGCATGCGGGGAGCCTGGGGGTTCTGGCCGCGTACATCCTGTGTGCGCGTCCACACCCGCCCGCCGGCCCACACAATCCCTCTTTCTTGTCCTCACAATGGACAAGGGTGGCCCCCCGGCACGGGTTCCACTTCCGTCCCCGCCCCACCCCACCTGCAGGCTGTGGAGTTCTTCCCGGGACACTGGGGCCCAGAGACCAGGGCGGGGTGAGGTTGGGGGGTGGGGGCAAAGCCTGCGTTCCAGGACCTGGGGGCAAAGCACAGCGGATGGCATTCCAGGAGACAGCCGGGGAGGGTTTCGGACCACGGGCGGGTACCTGCCTGCCTTGCTTCCTGTCCTGGGGCCAGCCATGCTGCGTGGAGGAGTGGCCCCAAATCTCCCAAATTGATGGTGACGGGGGTGTTTCAGGCCTGGGTGGGGGACATGGAGACTCTTTGTATTCCAGACCCTGTGCACCTGGCAAGCCCTGTTTTTATTTTTGTTTTATTAGGGTTGGGCAATCACAGATGCACTAAAAACAGTATTCATTTTTTATCTGAAACTCAAATGGAACCGGGAATGTGTATTTTCTCTGGAAATCCTACCCATAACTTCCCAGAAACACATCTCCAGTGGAAGCATCGGAAATAAGCTAAGCTGTTACTTACCTTCCAAGATGGACTGTCCTGGCCACCCCCCAGCCCCATCCCTGTGCTAAGAAAACATGCTTGCACTACCTAGTGGCTCCCCACTTCCCACCTTTCCCAAGCCCAGCCATTGTAGGGACTGTCCAAGTTTCATGAACTGGCAGGGGAAACTGAGGCAGAGAGCAGCGTCAGCCCCTGTGTGAAATTGCACAGGGGCTGAAAGGGGGAAGAGCCAGGCTCAGGATCTGGGTATCTGTCTGGCTTCTGATTCCTGCTGTGGAAACAGACACCCCCAGGGTACCAGACAGCCCCTCCCCTGGGCCTTCCCAGAAAGCCCTGATAACCAGGTGCAGCAGCCTGGAGGCCAGGTGGGCAGGAATGCTTCCTCTCCCACCACGTGCCTGACTGCCACTTGCTAGGTTGCTGGGAGTCCCTGCTTGCAGGTCCACCATCAGTGCTGCTGTACTCGCTCCTCGAACGTTGGAACATTGGGGCTAGCGGCTCAGGAAATTTGGTCTGTGGAGTTCTGGGAAGCAAACACTGAGGGAGAAGGGGGCTGGGCTTAGGCCAAACTTGGGCTCAGGATGGTGTGGGAAGAAGCCACTGGCTGGTGGTGTGGCCTTGGGCAAGTCTATTCTTTTGGGCCCTCTGTTTCCTCACCTGTAACAGGGAGCCCTGGTGGAGCAGTGGTGAAGAGCTCAGTCACAAGTTAAAAGGTTGGAGGTTCAAACTCAGCAGCTCGGTGGGAGAAAGATCTGGTGATATGTTCCCATAAAGACTGCCGACTAGGAAACCCCGTGGGGTACTTCTACTCTTGTTACATGGAATCAACAGCACCCAACAGCAATATGGGGTGCCCTGCCGTTAGCTGTTGCCATCCCACTGAACTAGAACACCCCAACCTTGGTACTAGTTACCACTCTGTATATTTTTAGAGACACAAACATTTTGAATGGGGAAACAGACCCTCTATATGATGAACGAAAACCCGAGACTTAGGATCCTTTGGATAGGATGTGGGGGCGGAGCGGGGGGAGATACAGAGAAAACCGTTTAGGGACTTGCGGCAGCTCCCCTAAAGAGGGGCAAGGTTGTGACCAGCAGCCCCCCAAAACTCCCTGAAGATAGTGTGACAACAAGCAGCCCCCCAAAACTCCCTGAAGATAGTGTGACTGCACAAGGGTGAGTCTCTTAACTACCACCTATGGCTGAGCGCCCTTTCATCTCTGAAAAACAGTAGGAGCAGTGAAACCCAAAGGGGGAGACCCCCAGGGCAACGCAGCATAGGAAAGGGGTCCAGAGGGAGCGTGTTGGGAGAAGACGGAAGAGTGGGTTCAAGAGGGAGTGAGTTACAGACCTAAATCAGCCCAGTTCCAGGGAGGGCAGAATGGAAACTAGCCCGGGTGGCAACCCATGGGCGCAGGTAAAAGAGAGGTGTTAGCAGCCATGGGCCCAGCTTGGGAAGCTGATCTACACCCGCAACACCTTCTAGAAAGAGCAAGAATAGCCCAGTAGGGGAAGCTGATTGTGACCAGAGGCTGGATCAGACTCCCCTCAACACCAACTTGCTCCAGGACAGCGAAGAACAGAAATGGGGTACCAGGGAGAAATAGGTAAAAGGGTGCACTAGGGTCCGGGAGCGCCAGGAAGAGTATTTTTTGCTGATTCCCGTCCCCATTCTCTTCTTCTCCACCTCGCAGACCGAGCTCTACTGCAGGGCGCCCCAGACGCGGTGGAGTTGCGCGACCTGGCACCCTGGGCCGGGCGGCCTCCAAATCCACGCCGTCGGGCGGGGCCTCGGCGGCGGCGCGCGCGTGCACGTACGAGCACGCGGCCTTGCGGGCTGCGCGAGCTCGAGGTGCGCGTGAGCGAGCTGGGCCTGGGCTACACGTCGGACGAGACGGTGCTGTTCCGCTACTGCGCAGGTGCGTGCGAGGCGGCCGCGCGCTTCTACGACCTGGGACTGCGGCGCCTGCGCCAACAGCGGCGCGTGCGGCGGGAGCGGGTGCGCGCGCAGCCCTGCTGCCGCCCGACGGCCTACGAGGACGAGGTGTCCTTCCTGGACTCGCACAGTCGCTACCACACGGTGCACGAACTATCGGCGCGCGAGTGCGCCTGCGTGTGACCCTACCTCACAGAGCCCGGCGAGACGGCCCGAGTCAGACTGACCATGCGTAGAAGATGCCGTCGATGCCAAGGGATTGATTCTTGCAATAACTGCATGGAAATAAAGTGTGGGAGAATGGAGCCAGGCTTGTGCTTCTGCGCGCCCCGTGCGGTGCGGGGCATCTCCTAAAGGGGGCAGGAGGGCGGGTGGGGGAGAAGGCGCCGGACTCCAATAGGGAAAGGAGAGTAATAGGGTCTCAAGGGGTGGTGGGAGGATGCCGTCTCCTTTGTGGGGGAAGGACAGAAGATGTAGGGGGGCGACAAAAGAAAAGCGCGCGCAGTGTTGGCAAGAAGCATCCACCTGACGGTGTCTGCCCTCCTGACCAGCAGAGGGAGGCGGAACCATTCTGCCGATGAAGAGACTGAGGTCGAGGTGGACCCCAGCCTGTCCTGCCGATGGGTCTCCGCAGCCGGGCCCCACCAGGATGAACGGTCTCCTTTGGCAGCTAAAAATACCCGCGCACAGCCCACCTCCTGGGGGGAAAGGTTGGCCATCGTCGTCACCCCGTTGGCTGAAGCTGGCTGCTGCTGGGCAGAGCAGGCCCCAGGGACCTGGATCCTAAATCCTGGACCCATAAAAGCCTCGGCCAGGCCTCCAGGGGGCGTTTACAAGGAGCCCGCAGAGAATGGAAAAAGCCCGGCCGCTATGTGTATATTGGTCTGCGGTGTCACCTTGAGGCTTGACAGGCCCCCAGCCCCCGCCCCCACCAAGGTGTAGGTTCCATTGCCTCCCATCATCTGAGAAGTGGGGTGGGGGTGGGCTATGAGCCTTCTGATTCATTCCCCAGACTAGGAGCTCTGGTGGGAGCCCCTCCATCCTCAGATAGTCTCCTAAGGCCTGGTCCCCTCCCACCACCGACCCCCTCTTAACTACACATGTGAGGTCAGGACCACCCTCCCAGACTTGTCCTCCTTTCAAAACAGAAGGACACAGGTCAGGAACTGACCCCAGGAAGGAGCATCCAGTCTGGCTTCATGGCCCCCCAGCCCCTCCTCCCACACACACCACCCCCACCCCCAGCCCCGCTGCATCTGAAGACACTCAAGGACAGCTAACAAGCAGGACTTCCAGAGAGCTCAAAGCCCAGGGTTTTGCAGCAGGGCCCGGCATGTGTGTGGGTGGTCTAGTGGAAGGCAGTTAGTTCCCCCCAGCCTGAGCTGGCTGGGGTCCCTGTCCGCCCCCGCCGTTTTTGACTATGAGGTTTGGGGTGTTGGATTCCTCACTGTTTGGGCTGAGTCAGCCTAGCGCTGTAGAGAGACCTGGGGCTCAGATGCCGCACAGCCAAGGAGGTGCTCCTCAGCCTCGGTTTCCCCATCCAGAGGGATATAGCCTCCAGATACTTAGCCCAGACACAGAGCAGGGAAGTTGGGGTCCAGCCGAGTCTGGAGCCCCCTAATCTCAGCTGTCTGTGTGCATGTGTGTGCCTGCATCTGCCTGGGCCTCCCGGGACCTCAGCTTCCTCTTCAGCTCCCACCCAGATCCAACGCCCCAACCGCAGGGCACCAGCCCAGCCTCCAGAGAATCCCAACGTAAACAGAGCTGCCCCCGCAGACCCCAGGGTTGGGGTTTCCAGCACTGCTCACTGCACACGGGGCCAGAGTCATCCCCACCTCACACACACACACACACACACACACACACACACGGAATGCTAGGAGAAGACGGAGCACACACAGCCCACATACTTACACACACGTGACCCACTCAGGATCCCCCCACCCTCAGCATACTGCTGTCCACGCACAGTCACACTCGACCACACAAAATCTCACGCACTCAGCCACTCAGGGCCACACACTTGGTAGGACCACCACACACACGTGCACCGAGACAGGTGGGGAGCCCCGTGTAGTCACAACACACAGCCCTGAAGTTACACCCAGTCCCACACTCAGTGTCATGCACAGGGTCCCCCAACTCCCTGCTCTCTTGTGGACCCAACCTCACCCACAGCATGCACCCCACACACAACAGTACACTTCCTCACACCTACACACCCTCACAGACTCCTCCACACACACACGAACACAGTGTCACGGCCCCACACACACACCACCTCCTCTCACAGCAGCCCCACATGCGCTGAGTGAATCTCACACACACACAATCACACATGTCACAACAGCCCACATGCTCTGAGTGACTCTCACACACACAATCACACACATGTAGTCAAAGCCCCAAGTGCGCTGAGTGACTCTCTCTCACACACACACACAATCACACACATAGTCACAAAAGCCCACATGCTCTGAGTGACTGTCACACACCCTCACACAGTGACACACGGTGGCACGCACACTCCAGGCCCACACGACCCTCCACTCACCCTCAGGGCACCCCCACAGCACCACACCCTCTCCTTGCAGGGGGTCCCGTGCCCCCACCACCTAGGACAGGCATGCCCAGTCCCCCTTGCCCCAGGCTCTGGGCTTAGAAGTTTCCCTTGTTCAAGCCCTGCTCCTTCCAGAAACCCCTGAGACCCCCTGGCACCCTGCCCACTTGCTGTGTTAGAGCCTCACCCCAGGTACCAGCTGGAGGAGAGGATCCCTTGGGGCCTTGAATACCTCCCATCCATGACCCCAGAGCCCCAGACGGACTAGGGCAGGCTTCCTCCCTCTCATGACTTATGGGGTTGGATCTTTTTTTTTGGGGGGGGGGGACGTCCTGTGCACTGCAGGATGTTGAGCAGCATCCCTGTCCTCCCCCCACCAAATGCCAATAATATCTGCCCCCCAGTCAGGGCACCCATGGCCCTGGGGTGAGGAGAGGTTCTAGAATAAGGGGACACACCAGTGTTTCTCACAGCATCCCCAGTGGGGAGTGGAGACAATGTTACTGACCCCAGATTCTCACAAAGAACACATGGACAATCACAGAGAAACCAACCAGAGCCATCGCGCCTGGAGGAGGGGAGGGGGGGAGTCCCAGGGAGCTGGCTCCCCAGGGGGCAGGTGCTTTGGTGCATGCTCTCCCCAGCAGGTAAAGCCCCTGGCAGGTGAGATCCCTCCTGACAGGTGCGGTCTTGGTAGGTGGAGGCCCACTCAGCAGCTCATGTGAACCAGGAGGCGATGCTGAGCACAGTCTGGTACCTGTTCTCCTGCTGAAGCTTCCAGCAGGCCTTGCAGTAGGACAGGGCCCAGGAGAAGACACAGGGCCGCAGCGTCTCACGCCAGCGGAAGTGCCTCAGGTAGGCAGCCTGGTCCTTGTCCAGCGCCTGCAGGTGCTGGGCCAGGGCCTGGGCATTGGGGAAGTCGTCCACGTGGATGAAGGCGTCGGGTGGTAGGAAGCGCTCGTAGTTGGTCCTGCTGGGGCCCAACACCACAGGCACAGCCCAGGCTTCCAGCGCGTTCCTCCAGAGCTTCTCTGTGATGTAGTCCGTGTGCAGAGAGTTCTCAAAAGCCAGGTAGAATTTGTACTGCGACAAACACTCCATCATGACCCCAGAGGGCAGCAGCTTGTGGGAACGCCCGTACACATCCACCTGGAGGTGGGGCTGGAGCTGCTGGTAGTAGCGCACCCGGGCCGAGTTCACTTGCCAGTTGGACACTGCCCAGGCCACCAGCTTGGTCTTGGCTGAGAGGCGGGCCAGTGTATCAGCGGGTTGGCCGGACCAGGGCTCGAGCCAGCCATAAGGTGTGAAGATGTCCGAGTCTCTGCGGTAGGACATGGTCAGATTGAAGTAGCCATCTAGGGCCTTCAGCTGCTGGCAGTTGGTGGGGGACTCCAAGCTAAACCAGACCCAGCGCTGGCCTGGTGGTCTTGGGGAACGGGGGAGCAGCTCCCGAGGCCTGTAGCTGACCTCACGATGATGCACTATGACTGCGTCTGCCTTCTGGTACATTTTGCGGTCAGCAGTCAGTTGGCAGTCAGCCATGCCGGGCCACAGCTTCGAGCAGGGGGACAAATTCACCGGCTTATTGAAAGGCCATGTCCATAGCAGAATGACAAGGGGGGGTGGATGGGGGGTCATGGGGTAGGACTTGTTGTCCGTTTTGATGGGGGGCTCTGTGGTGGTGGACTTGCCTGGAATCACACGCAGGTAAGAGAAGAGGCACAAAGCCAGAAGAAGCTGGAATAGCAGCCCCACGAGACATTGACGCCAGGGACTTTGTGTCTTGGGCCGGTTGATGGGATCCATGGGTCAGAAGCTGGGAGGAGGGAGTAAAGAGAGGTGTCACTGACAACAAATACAACAGTGTGTACCTGAAGGACAATGGAGGGTCACCAAAGGTAATGGTCAGGGGCCCTGAGAGGGTAGGGATGGTTGTTAGGTGCCGCACAGTTGTTGTCAACTCACAAGGACACATATGACAGAATAGGATATTGACAGTGTCATGGACTGCCAAAAGAACCAACAGATCTGTGTTGGAAGAAGT